GGCCGGCCGCGGCTCAGTCGCCCGCGCTCGGGCACTGCGACCTGGAGGCCCTGCAGCCGCCCAAAAGGGGCATGCAAGATGCACGCTTCTTCGCCCCCCCCCATTTATCGCCCCCCCCCTGTGCGCGGCTGCTCTGCGTTCTGCGCGGCCAGACGACGCCCTCATGTTTGGGTACAGCTCTTGGGAGGTGAGATTCAGCCTCGGCGCTAGTATATCCCTGGTTGAAAACTTGCCTAGTCTGGTTTAGTCCCGCTCAATCCGGTTGAATCCCGATGAGTTTGGGTTTGTTTGTGGGTTCACTCCGGCATCATCCTGCAAAGAGGCTTTGCTAACGGGCCGAGTAGCCCTTAGTCGTGTTGACGGAAGCCTCTCAGGAGCTGCCTTCTACGGTCGGGGATTTTCGCTTCGCGTGTCGTTCCGCCGCTTGGGGCCCACCGCGCCTCGGTGCGACACGCTATCCACTTCGCGGTCGTCACCCGCCCTCACGCCCCGCAGAGCGGAGCCACGGGCTGTCCGCTCGCAGGGCACAGCGTGCCGCCGGGGCCGCCGCCTCGACACGCCATGCGGAGGGTTCCGAGTGCAATCCTGCTGAATCTGGCTCTCTCCCGGGCCCAGCCTGGCTTCATGCGCACTATCTGGTTTGATCCAGGGCTCAATCTGGCCGAGCCCGGCGCAGTGGCCTTGCAATCGGGCCTGACGTAGCCGCTCATCGCTCTGACGAGCACCTCTCAGGAGTTGACGTCTACGGTCGGGAACTTTTGGATGGCGTGTCGCTCCGCCGGTATTTGCCCACCGCGCCTCGGAGCGACACGTTGTTCACTTCACGGTCCCTGGGCGTCCACATCCCGAGCCTTTCCCGACGTCGCCCCGCGGAGCGGAGCGAGCCGCTGTCCTTTCGCAAGGCATGGCGTGTTGCCGGGGCCGCCGCCGCCGCCGCCATACGCTATGCAAATGTTCCCGACAGCAATCCCGCTCAATCTGGCTCCATCCCGTTTTATCTGACTCTGGGTCTATCCCGGGCTCGATCCGGCGCAGTTTGGCGCAATGGCTCTGGAATCGGGCCTGATAGCCTGCCAGCAAAGCCTGATGGCGTTGCAGTCGGGCCCTGACGGCTTTGCCATCGGCCTCCCAGGAGTTGCCCTCTGCGGCCGGGAACTCTTGGGCAGCGCGTCGCTCCGCTTGTCCTGGCCCACGGCGCATCCGTGCGGCACGCCAGCCACCCCACGGCCGCCAGGCGTCCGCGTCCCGAGCCTCTCTCGACCTCGCGCCCCGGGTAGCAGAGCGAGCCGCCGTCCACTCGCAAGGCATAGCGTGTCGCTGGGGCCGCCACCGCGACACGCCATGCAGAAAGTTCCCGGCCGCAGCCCCGCCGAGTCATGTCCAGTCCCGCCCAATCTGGCTTCCGCGCTACCCGCACTAATCCCGGGCTCATTCCGGCTCCATTTGGCGCGAAGGCCTCGCGATCGGGCCCGACACAGCCGTTCACCGCTCTGGCGAAATAACCTCTCAGGAGTTGCCTTCTACGGTCGGGATCTGTTGGATCGCGTGTCACTCGGCCGGTTGGGGCCCACCGCGCCCCCGGTGTGACATGCTATCCATTTCGCTGCCCCCAGGCGTCCACCTACCGAGCCTTTCCCGACCTCCTGCCCCGCAGAGCGGAGCGACGCGCTGTCCACTCGCAAGGCACAGCGTGTCTCCGGCGCCGCTGCCGCGACACGCTGTGCAGAAGTTCCCGACCGCAACCCCGCCGAATCCAGTTTCGGCTCGCTGAGTCGGGTCCGAACATTTCCTTTGGGTGGAGGGCAAAGGGTGAAATCTGAAGTGCTGTTTCGATGGGTTTTCGAAGCTTGAGTCTGGAGGCTCGAGTCTGCGAGCGTCTGCAAGGTTTCGAGGTGCAAAGGACCATAGGGAGTTCACCCTGACCCCTCCACCCTAAGAAAATGCTCAGCTGGTTCCAACCCGCTCAATCCCGGGCTCAATACGGCCTAATCCAGCGCAGCGGCCGTGCAATCGGGCGTAATAGCCTTTCAACCGCTCTGGCGAAAACCTCCCAGGAGCTGCCTCCGAACCCACTGTTGCGGGGTTCGTTCAGGAGTGTGCCCAGGAGGCTTCAGACCCTGGAGGATTCTTTGTCTGCCGAGGGCGGCTGTGATGTCCACGGTCAAGCCTCGGTTGGTGTTCCTCTGGCTGTCGGACCCTGGATTGCTGATCCAAGGACTCTTTTGCGAGCGCCCTCACCGTGGAGTCACTCGGGCAAGTAGCTCGGATGTCGCGTCGGCTGGCTGGCACGCTCGCGCCACGCTGCGGGCGTAGGGCTGGCCGCGGCACGCAAGGGAGCGCTGGACGGAGCGGCCTGGTTGCCTGCATGACTGCTTCGTGCCTGCGCGGTTGGGCGACGCCCCTCGCCTCGTCAACTGGGAGGGAGGAGGGAGGAGGGAGGAGGAGTGCAAACCCAAGACGCGTCAACGCTGCCGCAAGAAGCTCTCCCTCCAAATTCCCTCTTCACAGCTTCTTACAATGCTTTATTCGCGTTGTGGGAAGTGGCCCATGGAAAGACAAACGATTGGGAATCCTAAATCGCGCCCAGACACCAGTTCTGGAACTTCAACGCCGCGAATCAGCTGTGACTGTTGCGTCCTGACAATCCCAGATCGTGACAGAATACCAATCGTGAGATTTCAACACCTTGCACCAAGGTGACTGTTCCTAAATCGTGGCAGAACACGAGTCCTGGGACTTCCGCTTCACGGGTCCTTGTCACGACTGTAAGTTGTTAATGCGAATGCGCACGGCGCTAAGGCGAAAACATCACATTGTGGAAAGAAACCGCCATCCCTCTTTGAAACTGTTGCAAGCCAGTTCCTCAATCTCGGCAGCTGGCGCCCGAGCGACGCGGACACGCAGCGGCGGGCACGCGGCATGTATGGATGATACCGCGTCCACGACGCCCGCCAGCACGGCCACCTGGACATTTCAGAGGCCGACGAAGCCTTCAAAGAGTACGTCCGGGAGGGGCGTCGTGGCACAGAGCAGCCACAGTTCGACTGGCCAGCGTGCCGACGCCAGCTTGCAGCTCCCGCTTTTCCCCGCCGGCTCCCCGTGGCATGCTGCCCCCTTCCGGGTGCCTCCCTCTCGCCCTTCCCGTCGCTGCCTTCTCCTGCCTCACCGAGCGCGTTCCACTACTCGCAAAGTGCCTACTCGCAAACGTCCGAAACATACACGTCTGCTTCGATGTAATTTCTCGTAGATCCCCCCGGGCAGATCCAGGAAATTTGCGAGTAAGGGAGCGCGCGCGTCTATTGCTGCGAGTGTCGATTTCGTGGTGCCCGGTCCACGGAGGGCCTGCCCGCTTTCTTGTTTGCGCGTGGTTTGGGCTAATTACGCAGCTGTTTGGGGCGTTCAGGCAATGGTTGGTCGACCCCGCGGGGCTTCCGCAGGTTCCGACCGTCCTCATATGATGTCAGTTCCCCTCCTCCTCCTCCTCCTCCTCCTCCTCCTCCTCCTCCTCCTCATCCTCATCCTCATCCTCATCCTCATCCTCATCCTCATCCTCATCCGCCTCCTCATCCTCCCCCTTCCTGCCTTCGCCTGCCGTGGCCCCCGGCGCAGCGCCGATACGTTTGGAGGGTGAATTCGTATCGCTACACTTGCCCAGATTTCCACCCCGCTGCGTCCTTCCTGCCCACGCCCGGGCCCAGAACTTGCCAGCGTATGTGGTCATTCACGGAGCTCGGAAAAGCCGGACTTAGGTCACTTTCGGGGCCTCCCATGCCTGCTATGCCAGGATCGAGAATACCAGCTTTTTCGTCTTATGCGAATAGGACCTTTGTATGTTCCTCCTCGTGCAGCTGGTCCTGCACCGCTTCCGCAGCACATGCAACTCATTCGGGTTGATACGTTCTTGTGAGAATCAGTATCTTTAGGCAGGTGTGTTTTTCCTCCCCTTCCTCCCTCCTCCCTCTGCCCCCCCCTAGTCCAGGGCTATTGCAGGCTCTTGCTTACTTGTCTGCGCTGGAATATTTCCGGCTCTCGTCGCGCAATCGTTCCCCTCTGGAAAAATCGTTTCGACGATTATTTCTTTGCGCGCGAGTTGTTTGTTGAACAGTTGCGTTTTGTAGCGCGAGTTGTTTGTCCGCCACAGCCCCTAGTGAAGAGGTTGGCGTCAGCTGTGGAAGCATGCGGTCCGCTCCCATGCTCCCCCTCCAAAAAAACTTGTAAGACGAATGCTTGCTGCGCTAAGGCGAGAGCCGCATTGTCAAAAGAATCCGCCCTCCATCCTTGAAGCTGTTGCGAATTTCAAGCCCCTGAGTTCTCAATGTTGAGGAAGTCTCTGGCGGTACGCGCGGCCCGCCCTACCAATACGCCTGGGGGTGCGACAGGGAGATGTTGTTTATGAGTAAATCGGATGGAATAGGAGGGGCCGAGGAAGAGGGGGAGGAAAGGCAGGACGAGGAAAATGAAGAGATGAGGAGAAGGAGAAGGAGAAGGTGAAGGAGGAGAAGGAGGAGGAGAAGGAGGAGGAGGCAATGTGAGATGTTGGAGCTACTTTGAGGAAAAGGGATGAAGGAGGAGGAGGAGGAGGAGGAGGAGAGATGGAGAGAGGAGGGAGGAGATGGGAAGGAGAAGAAGGAAGGAGGAGAGAGGAGGAGGAGGAGGAGGAGGAGGAGGAGGAGGAGGAGGGAGGAGGAAGAGGAGGAGGAGGCGGACGAGGGAGGAAGGAGGAGAGGGAGGAGGATGGAGAGGAGAGAGAGAGAGGGGAGGGGGAAGCAGGAGGAGGAGTTGGAGTTGTAGTTGGAGGAGGAGAAGGAATAGGAGGAGGAGGAGGAGGGGTAAGAGATGAGGAAGAGGAGGGAGGAAGGAGGAGGGATGAGGAGGGGGAAGAGGGATCAGGGAGGAGGGAGGAGGGAAGGTTTGTGAAGGAAAAGTTCGGGGTGGAGGCGTGGAGGCTGAGGAGGGAGAGGAGAAGGGAGGAGAAGGAGGAGGAGGAGGAGGAGGAGGAG